AATAGATATTTATAAAAATACCCAATCCTAGACATGTATTTATAAAAATACCCAAGCACTATTTAAACATAGAAACATACCCAAAATGGGTTTTGGGTATGTGTGTAATGATGGGTTTTGGGTATGTTTATAAATGGGTTTTGAGTGTGTGTAATGATGAGTTTTGGGTATGTTTATAAAGTGTTTTGGGTGTTGGGTATTTTTATAATTTCAGCCCTCATTTTTGGTATTTTAGTGAAACTCCCAATTTTAAATCACTTTTGAACCATTGAACTTGCACATATTTTATGTGAGCCACATAGTTGGATGGATTTGGATGTGTATCTAAGGTGAAACACTTGTGTAAAATAGGTGCTATTCCGATCAATTATTATATTATTTATGTGATAATTTATAATTGAGAAACAATAGTATTGTGTTATTCCAGCTTCACCTAAGTTTTTCTAGTATTTAAGACTTTGAACTTGCCAAAAAAACAAGCAAAATGAATATTGAATGTACAATGCCCGAGGTTGCAATGATGATCCACAACCACATACCCACGCATTACCATCAACATTCTTTTCTTTTAAATAATTCGTTAGGCAGATTATTATATAAATGCATATCTGCCACCACAAACTTTCGGTTTCTTCTTATTATAAAATAAAATTAAAAAAAAACTTTCGGTTTCTCTGATAAAGAGATGAACGGTAGTGATAATATCACTCATGTCAATGGGCGGCCATGATGTATGTCTACTCCACTATAGTGGGACTGGAAGTACAGAAACATAACTTTTAAAGACAGAAACAGAAAGCAAGAGAACGTAATAAGGAGAAGAATTCTTTCGGAAAAAAAAATATTTTAAAAAACAAAACATTCAGAAGGAAAGAAAAAGAAGTTGGTGTTGTGATTGACCGAGTGATTTCTTTTATTCTCTTCTTTTTGTGCCGCCCCATTTCCTGTCCGTCAAAAACTGAAGATCAAAATATACCAAAAACACAGACATACATGGATACATACAGCTTTCCTTAGCTGTTTTGCCTCATGTTCCAAACTCCCCAAAAGCAGAAAAGAAAAAGAGAGAAAGCAAAGCTGAAGATTCCCATTGCCTTTTCTTTCTTTCTTTGGTTTTTCATCTGGTCTGGTCAGCCTTTCTCTACCAAGGTACTCTTCATTTTTCTCTTTCCCTAGCAAAAATCTCAACTTTCTTTCAATTTCTGGCTTTCAGGTATTGGCTTGATCTGCATCTGATTGCTTTGAATTTTCATTTGCTTCAACTTTGAGGTGGGTTTTTGCTCTGACTAATTCCTAGTTTTTTTTTTTTTTTCACAAGCTTTTTGCTTTTGGTTTTGATCTATAATCTCGTTCAGTGCCCATATGAGTATGTTGACTGGTTAATTTTCTATTCATACAGATTGGAACTGAAATTAGTATCTATATTCAATATCCACCGGAAGTAAAGAAAACAGAGAACATGGGACTAGTGTTAGAAATTGGAGTTCAAATCAGAAAATTTGCCATCATATCAAAGAGAACATGTTACAGATTAGTTGGCAACCATCCATTTCTTGTGGGCATGCTGCTTTTCCTGATATTTCTGTACAGATCATTTCCTTTTGCGTTTTCTCTTTTGGTATCTACATCCCCTGTTTTAGTCTGCACTGCTGTCCTTCTGGGCACCCTTTTGAGTTTTGGCCAACCCAACATACCCGAGATCGAAAAGGAAGAGAAGCTTACCCACGATATTGCTTCTCTTAAAACTGGGGTTTCAAGGGATGACACTTTTGTTGTGGATAGAGATGGCAGCTTTTCCACAGAGAGATTCTCAGGAAAGACAAGGGATATTGTCAGTAGTGAGGTTGAGGATCATGATCCACAGAGAGATTCTAAGGTCAGTAGTGAGGTTGAGGATCATGATGGTTCCTCTGTTTATGTGCCACTTATCAATGAGAATTTGAAGCACACTCAAAATGAGAAGAGAGTGATTGAGGGTGTGGAGAGAGAATTAGACAGTCTGGAGTTGGATAACCAGAGGAACTCTCATGATGAAAGATTGGGGATTGAAGGAGTTGAATGGGATGTCGAAGCTGTTGAGCAGCAGTATACTTTGGTTCAAACAGTGGAAGATGATATATCTCCCCGTGAGTCTTGCAGGGCTGATCACTTGGATTCTTCTCTGGGTGTGGGTGGCGGTGGTGGTGATGATGAGGCTGACGAAGATGTCAATGATGAGGCTTCAGATTCCGAGTCAGATCGGGCGGAGAGTTCCTCACCAGATGCTTCAATGGCTGACATCCTTCCTATTCTTGATGAGCTACACCCGCTTTTAGACTCAGAAGCTCCAGAGCCTGCTCACATGTCCCATGATGAGTCTGAGTCTGATAGGAGCAATGCTGGCAGTGTTGAGTCAGATAAGGAAACTGAAAACCTCAGCGTAGGAGTACAAGGGGATGATGGGGTTGATTATAATGACGGTGATGAGGAAGAAGCACAGGGTGGGAAGGAGGATGAAAGCGAATCTGCAATCATCTGGACAGAGGATGACCAAAAGAATCTCATGGATTTGGGGAATTTGGAGCTTGAAAGGAACCAACGCTTGGAGAATCTTATTGCAAGGAGAAGAGCAAGGAAAAGCTTCAAAATAACGGCTGAGAAGAATCTAATAGATTTTGATAGTGTGGATCTTCCCTTTAATATTGCACCAATCTCAACAAGAAGACACAACCCATTTGATCTTCCATATGATTCCTTTGATAACTTGGGGTTACCACCCATTCCTGGGTCTGCTCCATCAATTTTGTTGCCAAGACGAAACCCCTTTGATCTTCCTTATGAGTCAAATGAAGAAAAACCTGATCTCAAGGGAGACCATTTTGAGCAAGAGTTTATGGCATTTCACTCCAAGGATGCATTCTTCCGTAGGCATGAAAGCTTCAGTTTGGGACCATCCAGCTTAGGTCATGCCAAGCAAGAGAGGCAAGATTTTAAGTGGAGACCTGTTTTTGTACCAGAACGGTTGGCTTCAGAAGGAACAAGCAGTTCCTCATTTCAAAGACAATCAAGTGAAGTTAGTGATTCAAAGTTGAGTTCTCTTCCTGATACTGAATCAGTCAGTTCTGCAGCAGATCTGGATGAAAGGAAGTTCAGTGAGCAGGACTTTACTAAAGAAGCAGAAGTGATATCCAACATTTACCATGCTCCTGATCTTGTTGAGCATGAAAGTCATTCCTCGGAAGATGTAGATTCTCTGGATATGGAACAGGCTGGCAAAAGGGATGTTCAACATGATGAGCCTGAAATAAAATTGGGGGAGTTGCAAAATCCAGATCCAAGCTTGTCTGGTACAGGGGGTGTAGCCAATATTGTGGAACATATTTCTAATGAAATTCATTTGAAACCAGAACCAGTTGAAGAGGACAAAACCAGTAGGTCAAGCTTGTCATCATTGTCAGAAGTAGATGAAAATATTTCAGATGTGATGAAAGGTGGATCGACAAGTTTGGAGGCAGAAGGTGATATCATCAAGGAGTTTGTAATTTCACCGCAACCTTCAATTGAGGAGTCGGAAGTCCAATTTATGAGCAGGGCGGTGGATGACAATGAACATAAAGAGCCAGTCTATGACTCAAGTCCCCTACCAACTGAAAAGATCCTTTCCTTTAACTCTATCTCTTCTGATATGCAAGCCGATATATCTGAAATGGTTACACCTCAGGCATCAACTGAAATGTATGTTCCGTTTGTAGACCAGGATTCTGAAGCCCCTGGTGAGAGCACGGAGAAGGGTACTTCAGGCTATGTAGAGATAAATGGTTCCACCTCAGAAGTACATGCATCAGATGAAATTGAAAGAAGCTTGGGAACATGCAACCAACTCAACTTAGCATGTCCTCACTTAGAGGAAGAGATCTATCTCCCTAAGAATTTAAATGTGAAGACAGCTTCATTGGATTCTAGTTATCAATCTGTTCTTTCCGAAAAAATGCCATCATCTGAACAGGAGAAAGTTCTTTCCTGGTCGGATAAATCCATGGTTGAACCATGTTTTGATGATCATGCGGAAGCACTTGTTGTTAATGAAGAAGTAGATGACGTAAAGGAGATTGATGCAGGGTTGCTGTCAGAACTGGATGCAGTTGGGGACTTCAGTGTCAAAGAAGTTGGTGAGCCACTCCATACTGATGAGCCCATACAAGAGGAAGCAAATGTTTCAAGCACTGAATTTGGGGATTCAAACCTGTCAGAATCGAACCTGGAGCTACTAGTTCCTGAAACAAGATCGATTGAATATGTTGACATGGCTTTTAAGCAAATTCAAAAGGGACTCGACGTTGAGGAAGTCATTCTTCCCAGGATTGTTGACAATCAGCGAGAGGTGGAAGCATCCGAAAATAATGTCCAGACCAGTTCAGAGTTTCCTATTGTCGAAGCAAGATCTTTGGAAGATATTGTCACTACTTTAAATCAAGTTTCAGAAAGTAGTGTTAATGTGCTCCCACAGCTGATGGATTCAGAGGATCAGTCAACAGAATTACCGTTGGAATATATTCATACTGTCTTGAAGCAAATCTCAGAAGGTGATAGTGTTGGTGAGCTTCCAAATCCATCATATTCAAATGATGGGTCAGAAGAAGTAGGAACTACTGCACTGGGTTCTTTAGAGGAGATTGCATCAAGAAATATAGTATCAAGTGTTCAAGAAAATATCACTGCACATGATGCTTTGGAGCAAGTCTCAGAAAGTCATGTTGATGAGCCACCAAAACCAACATCAAATTCAGAGGGATTAGAAGAAGTTGGAATTAATGCAATGGGTTCTATGGAGGAGATTGCGTCAAGCAATATAGTATCAAGCGCTCTAGAAAACATCAGTACTCAGATTGCTTTGAAGCAAGTCTCAGAAAGTCATGTTGATGAGCTACCAAAACAAACATCAGATTTAAAGGAGGGATTAGCAGAAGTAGGAACCACTGCAATGGTTTCTACCAACGAGATTGTATCGAGCAATATGGTATCAAGTGAACAAGAAAATTTTACTACTCATACTGCTTTGAAGCAAGTCTCAGAAAGTCATGTTGATGAGTTGCCAAAACCAACAGAAAATTCAAAGGAGGGATTGGAAGAAGTAGGAGATGCAATGGCTTCTTCTACCAAGGAGATTGCATCAATTACTACAGAACCTGGTGTTCAGGAAGCTATAACTACTCCTACTGCTTTGAAGCAAGTCTCAGGAAGTAATGTTGATGAGCTGCCGAAATCATCAAATTCACAGGATGGATTTGCAGAAGTAGGACCAAATGCAATGGACCTACCGATTGAGAATATAAGACACAAAAACTGAAGAATGTGTTTGGCGGTTTGCGACTTTGGTCTTCCAATTTTCTTCTGCAACAGGCTCTTTCTGTTTTTTCCAGTGTGATTATAATCATGTTATGGTAAGTGGTAGTTTCTTTCGGTGATTATTTGATTGATTGATTTCTTCAAGAATGAGTTTTTGGTTTGATTTCTTGAAGTGTGTAATTTCTTGTTTTGATCCTAACGTTGTGAGAGTTGAGTGAAAGGTTGGCCTTGATCATCAGTATTGTAAATTATATTTTGCATGTAAAAATTGAGGATCTCATATTTTCTAGATATGTATTGGGCTAGTTTCATCTCTCTCTTATTTTTGAACTCCCGTTTGTGTGGTAAGAACTGCTTATCCTGTCTCACCATTAATACCAAAATTTTCAATTCTTTCTGACCGGAATTTTATTTTATTTTTCTTAGTTGGCTATTAAATCCGATCAACCTGTCACAAGCAAACACAAAAAGCGTAAAGCTTATTCAAAGCGTCTTAAAGTACAGAGAGTTCATACTAGTTAAAGTGGAATGCAAGGGTTTGCTGGTTATATTTCAAGTTGGCTGCCGACTTATCTGATTTTGCCTACCACTTGTTGGAGTAGGTCGGTGAATTGAAGAATAAAAATTAAGTAGCTTTTCACCAAGAACAATGTGCCTTGCTCAACATAATGTGAACGAATGTTGTTACCACAGATTTTACTCTTTCTTTTTAAAGAAAAATATTACCAACAAAACGTTATGGTTGAATTGAATGATTAGAAATACAGTTCTCGGGGCGTTTAGCTCAAGTGGTATAGAGAAATTACCTATGCACCAAGGTACTGTGTTCAAATCCCCCTTCCCCAGTGTCGCTTGTATAAAAAATAAATAAAAATAGAGTTCAAGAAAGGGATGGCTAAGGTTCCCTACCTCCAGATACAAATTTCCAGAGGTAAGGATAGACCCAAAATAAAATAACGGTCCATCTTACAAGTGACTATCAAAGACCCAAATTAAATTAAAATCTTGTACATGATTCCAAAACTATCATTTTGCATCCGGCATTTAAATGTGTATTAGAAAATACAATACACTAAATGGAGAAAAAAAGTTCATGTCCAATATCCAAAAAGATTGGGGGCAAGACATTAATAAAAACGGTAAAGTGAACAAAAGGACATGACACACTTTGTTAGACTAAGTTAGCTATACATTTAAAGATATCATACCAAATGATCCGATTGCTTTTGTTTCTTTTGTGATGGCCCAGAAATAGTCCCAACCTGAAACCACAGCAGAAGTTTAGATACATCGTTTTGCAAGAATGCAAAAGAAGCATTACACCTTAAATTCTCACATCAATATTAATCCAGAGGTATTTGCTGCAAATTTCATTTTACTAAATAAAGAAACTGTTAATTTGTTATTATCTTTTATTTGTCTGGCAGAAAATATCTTTTAGAACAAAAAATAGATTCACATTTTAGATGAACGATATGTTTTCTTGGTAATTGCTAATGTTCTATGTTTAAAGAAATTTAATAATTTTTTGTAAATTTTGGAAACTGGAGTTTGCCACGGACCAGTGAAGGTTATTGGCAGCCAGCCAGTAAAAGGAGATCACTGATGTTGTTAAATGAGTCTTTTAGTACCTCTCTATTATTTGATGGGTCTTTTAGTTTCATAATGAGTATTTTAGTGCTTACAGGAGTGTTTGGGAGTTTTATTTGAAGCCTATAAATATTAAGTGTAACTTATGTCCCAGGCGACACCCGCATCCCTGTATCTCTATTCTACAGTTCAGACGAAAAATCATCAACAGAGAGAAGGCAAAATACCAATAAGTTAGAAAGCAGTATGCCTACCATGCTTGAGAGTTGTTCCTTGATGTAAGTCAATGATCTCAGCATAGCTTCAAGAGTGTCCCTAGTCAGTTGAAACTTCACCTCGATTTCATCTAAAGGAGATTTGGTATAATCTTGCAACTAGAAAAAATAAATAAATAAATTACATAATGTGTGTGAAGAAAAATGACCAAACAAATTAATGAGACTGTCATATGAAAGGGGCGAGAAACTTTGAACTTTATTAAAGAGGCACACATGCATGAATTCATTGTGAAACTATAACCACCAGAAGCTATATAAAACTCAAGAAAGTGAAGTGCAAAGGAAAGTCTCTTTAATCCCATTTCATTCTTCTTACACAGCTGGGCAAACAAATCAGATGCGTATCAGCTAGCATAAGAACTCAAGCTTGAATTGAAACCGCTCACTTGTCTTAATCAAAACCATTTTAACAGAAATCATCTTTTTTGTTTGGGAAGTCTGTTTAAATAAAAAAAATTAGTATTATAAAAAAAAAATTAAAACAAATACAAACTAATTTTAGTTGGTCTTGCAAAAATTTCCAATTCCATATGGGGAAAGATTTGGTGGTGGCATTAGTATGGGGAGAACTAAGGGGGCTTGGAGAGGTTAAGGCTTAAGAAGCTTAATATATGTTAGTGAGGTGTGTATCAGTTTTGGGTTCATTAAAAGATTAGAAGATACGTGGTAAATTGAAGGTGAAATGGTATTGGTATGGTACTATATTTACATGATATTTTACCGGTTGGTATCAAGTAAAAGAAAAATGTTGATAATTCTGGTTAAAATGGTAAGGCGTGCATTTTAGGGTTTAGGGTTTTGCTTTTGCAACTGGGATTTTAATGAGTTAAATTATATAGAGAATATAATAAGCTTTACATTGAATGCTATTTTGCTATTTTCCTGAAATCCACGCAGTCTTTTCATTTTCAGTAAAATCTAAAGGGCGGTAGAATTCTGGAAAACTATTTGGCAGCAATATATACTGATACATAGTAACATGTTTCTTGTACTTGATTATGTTTCATAAGTCCTAATCCCATGAGATTTTGAATGCTTAAATTTTATATGTGCACCTTTATATTTATATATATACACAGTTGACCTCATTCATACTATATTTCAATTGCCTTGTTCGAAACTCTTTTGGAAAGAATTCTTCACAGAATTTACCTACCTTAAGATTGATGACGGCCACTCTATTAGCCGGCCCTGAGTTACAGTTCTCCATGGTCCAAGTCATTGACTTTAGGCGAGGTAGAATTCCCTGCATATCAAGAGAAGTCAGTAGTGAGACGATAGGGAATTCCTAAACCTATAAACATTCCCAAAAAAAAAAAAACATGATATCCAAGTTTACTACAACTGAAGGGAGAAGAAAAAGATATAAGTTGCATGTTCAATCTAAGACCTGAAAAATCAAACTAGCAGACATCTTTTTCTACAACATAAACATTTTTGCCTTGGAATCTATTACGAAACCATAGAGAAAACTAGAAGCGTCCCACATCCTATAATATCATTACCACAAAAGGTTCCAAAAACACCAGCATAGCCAGTTATATTAGAAAGAATGAGACTCGCAATAGAAAGCCATGAAGTAAGTATGAAATTAATTATCATACAAGAAACAAATCAAGCAATCAACCTCACCACCTGAAGAATTGGAGGAGACATGGGAGTGAGCCGAGATGCATTGGTCCCAGTAACAATCGGTGCTGATGAAGCTCCAAAATCGCTAAATGAGCATGAGCTACCCAAAGTCGTGAAAGATGGCGGCACACTTGTCTTGACCTGATACGAAACACTAGTCCGCTGGGAAGAAAAAAAAAAAAAAGCAGAGTTGAGTATACGAATGACAATGGCAAAGAGAACCCAGAAAACATATGCAAAAACCGATCAAAATGGAATTTTAAAAACTTGGGGTCAAAGTAGATGTGGCTAACCAGCTGTTCTCGGGCTACTTCATCCTTCCATTGAGACTGATACTTGTGGAACAACAACACCAAACTGCTCTGCAAATCGAGCGGTAAATCAGGAGGGAAGAGCTTCAAAAGGTCATCACCAGTGAAGTTTTCATGTACCCATTTTCTGATAAGCGATCGAAGGCATGCCAAAACCTGTTATTTTGCCAAGAAAAATAAATGTGTATGTAAATTTGTTAAGAAAAACAAATGGGTATATAAATTCGTTAAGAAAAAACAAATGTTATGTAAAATTTTTCTACAGAAATTAAGAGAGAGAGAGAGAGAGAGATACGTACGGGATGGAGTTGTGAAAGAGAAGGCAGATTGAGGAGAGATTGGAAGTGGGACTTTTGGTGGGGGGAGTGGAGACCGGTTTTCCTGGTTTTCCAGAGAGTGCAAAGCAATTGGTCAAGTGCTTCCTCTGATTTTAGGGCTGACAGCTTATGCAATTGCAGGTGCAGTGTGTCTTCCATGACCTCCATTCTTTTCTCATTTGTTCTGTTGGGTTCTTGTGGCCGCTGCTCTGAGTAGAAGAAGAGCCTTCGGGCGGTCATCATTTGGCCCAACAGCTCATGGGCTGATGGAGGCCGCCCGGCCCATTGAGGTAAAGCCCAGTCTGGCCTGTTGTGGGTCATTGGCCAGCCCAGCCCGTTGTTCAGTGGGTTAGGTTTGAGCTAAGGTGTCTAAAGTCTAGTCCAACTCATAAATCCAACCCATTTGAGCCCAAGAAAGTCTAGCCCGGCCACCCATAGAAGCCCGGCCCAGAACACCATATACAATAACACTTAACTTTAAAATTAAAAAAGAGTTAATTTCATTTTACTAATCGGAAGTTTCCTGAAATTATGACTTTACTACACAATGTTTTTGGTCTAAACTTCGTACTCAAAATTTGATTTTTCTACCACTTTCATCCACCGTTAGTTTAACTGTTAAGTTATCTGTTAAATGATGATGTGACAATCAATGGCCCATCGAAACTCAAATATATCGTGTCACATCAGTTGATAAAAAAAGTTAAATAATCAATTAACAATTAAAATAATTGAAATAAAAAATTAAACTCTCTCTCCTCTCTCTACAACTCACGAGTCACAACCCACCGCTTTCCACCCCACCCCCATTCCAACTGCCCATCGCCTCCCCCACTTCTTTCTCTCTCTCTCTCCTCCCTTCCTGAACCAAATCCGCATCCTGCAACCTGATACAAGTAAATCCCAGATGCTAAAACCAACACCACAACAACACAACCGATTGCGATGCCAGCAACTGCTCCATTAGACAACAAAGACGAAGAATAACTCAACTGAAACACAAGCAAATTGTTGTTGAGGTCGATGCTAATGTGGTTTCCATATGGGTCGTTGAACTCTGGGTTTTGCCCAGTATCAAACTCAATGGCAAGCAATGGAGCGACGATGGGGATGGCGGCGTTGGTAAAGAGGCCGAAGTATTGGCTGGCAAGGGCTTTGGGGGCGAGGTGGAGTTTAAGTGGACAAAGCATAGGCTGAAGCCT